ATAATAATCTCCTGAAAGTACGAATCATTCTTGTCATTTTCTTTGACCTTATTCTAAGACTATGATATACCTTTTTTGGTCTGCTGCTTGAGATATAATATTCTAAATGAGAGGTTGCTTGTACACTGTAAGGCTTGAGATGAACTTTTCTGGATATAACCACAGTATCAGCCACTGTATATGCACAAGCATTCTCATTGCTTTTTATCATGGGCAAACATGAGAAGGAGGAAAGAATTTACATTTCCTGCAGCTCAGAATCACCTACTGTATGTGATATGTACAGTTTATGTTCCCACAGCCAGCATACTTTATTTTGCGCTTATCAAAGTTAATTTTACTCAGCTGTCTGCCCAATTCATTATTTTTATCTGCATTATTCCCCTGATACTCTTTCTGAGTACGCCACTCCCCCTGTTTGGGTATCATCTGTAAATTTTCCTAGTATGGTAACTGTACCAGATTCTAAGCTGTTGATATAATCAAGAGCAAAGGGAAAATAAACAGATCCTTGTGGCACAATGTTGTGATAACCAAGGCTCAGAATATATGGTTGGCACTGTGTGTTAGAGCAGTGATGATAATTCCTAGGTTCTGGCTAAATTCCACTTTTGGCTTGCCACTCTAACTTTTCCCATAAAAACAACTGTGGAAGTAATATAAGCTTCTGCTGTCTATCTGGGATATTAGGTGGATAATGCCTGCCACAAATGCTTCACTTCAGAGTGAATGAAGTAAATTCCCTGCTGTATTTTCATAATGACGACTTACACATTACTATCTAAAAGCACAATGACTTTTACTTTTGTATCTAAATGCAGCTAAATCTACAGTAAATATATATTATGAGGTTGGGTGCCTGTCTTCAGTTGCTGGAACTGTTCTAACAGGAAGAAGTTCAATAATTTACAATGACAAATCCTGGGACGTGGGACAGGTCAAAATTTTGTATGTTTTATTTTGTTTGTGTTTGTAATGACATTGTTCTGTTGTAAGTCAATAAAATAATCACAATTCCAGTCTGCTAGTGGCATATGTCACATGTAACAAAATATATGTTACATATATTCAGGGCTCCCAGCCCTGAGCCACATATCTCCTAATCACTGTTAGATTCCACTCTGGTAAAATACTTTACTGTTTCTAGCCACAGTAGAACCCATCACCACTGGATGATTCGGAAGGCCATGCCACCATACCAATTAACTCACAGGATCTCCACAAGTCTGAGTGATGGTGGTAACAAGCTGTGCATGTCACTGTAGAGCATGACTGTGATACTTTTGATGGAAACAATACAACAGGTTTTATACAGACATTAAACTAATAATTCATCATAATAGTTACTTATACTTACAGAACATACAGTAGCGGTTTTCTGGAACTCCACTCAAAGAGGTAATGGGGACTCCCCACCACCACTACTAATGTGAACAACACATCTGGATGATGCAACAGCAGCCAAAGTGCACCAGTACACTCACCACACATCAGCTATTGAAGCTAATGAAGCCAGGAGGATATTTGGCCAGGACACCCCTACCCTTTTCAAGAAATGCCCTGAGATTTTTATTGACCACAGTTTTACATGGTTTATCAGGACCTTGGTTTTACATCTCACCAAAAGACAGTATTTTTGACAGTATAGGGTCCCTATTACTATACTGGGCTATTAGGGCACACACAGACTGCAGGGTGAGTGCTCCCTACTGGTCCCACTTACTGTGAACCTCTTTGAGCAGTGTTAGTTTTACCAGGAGGTCTCCCATCCAGGTACTGGCAAAGCTCACAGCTGCTTCAGATCAGTGGGCTGCCAGTTGAGAGTTCTAGGGTGATTTACAGTAGCTGCTGGCTAAACTGTTATAGTGACGTAACTAATCGGGACACCCAAAGTGTTGGATTCTTATATGTAGTCGGCTGGTACTTTGACGTTGTGAAATTCACTGCTGTTGGAGGAGGCAATATGTGGGTCTTGTAAGAGGGCAGAAGTTCCAGAGTAATTAGAAATCACTGTTTGAGCCATATTACCCAGTAAGCTGTGGGGAGTGTGTTGCTGCTTTCAGTTGCTTGAAGACAATTTGTCTGGTGACAGTTTAAAAGCTTCTTGATTTCTGCTGTCTATTGGCAGAGGGGAGAGCCTCTGTGTGCAAACCCATCAGGGGTAGACTGAAAGCTACCAACCAAGCAACTGCTGAGCTGTGCAACTACTGTATGAGTAACTCAGAAGAGTGTTGTAGAAATGTCTCAGAGGCTTAGTTTAGAGCATAGTCTCAGCTCCCCAGTTGTGAGTTTCTAGGAATTTGGAAGACTGGATTTGAACCTTGTCTGTTTGCTGGACCTGCCTATATACAGTAAAAAACACTTGCTATGGCCCCCCGAAACTGTGGGTGTGTCACACTCTGTCCACACAGAAATCAAATACTGGACAGGAATTTAACTGCACACATCTTCTAGGCTTGACCTCACAACGTTTGACCATCGCTCTCAGCATGCATTGTAAGTGAACACCTTAATTAGTGACAATGGAAGGAAAACTTCCTTTTTTGGCTGGCTTGCAAATAGAATAATAATCAACTATTGTCATGTACTTCTGAAATGCAGTAAGGTTCCCTAAGTCTGTGGTGAGCAGGTGCACCAACAGCTGCAGTCTAGACACACCGGGGCTAGCATTTCTTCCAGACACAGGTGAGCAGCACGCTGACGAAGAAAGAGCCCCAGTAACAGATGAATAGTGCCCGAGTTAAGTAACCAGCCCTTTCACAGCTCTTCATGGTTAATTTAAATTGTTTTAATGGTGTAAGTCATGTCAGGAAAGGCATATCTGAATTCCTCTCAATGACAAGCTATGAAGGAAAAGCCATTCTTCTGATTGGCAGCTGAAATACCAGAACTCGACGGCAACATTATATTAATATCCTACAAGTTTCTGTGTAAATTTCCCCAGGGTCAAGCCTCATGGTTGAAAGACTTAAATTATGGCCTTGTATATTATGTACAGTATGAACCACATAAGATAATCCTTAACCCTGGGATCTCAAGCTCCTGGAGGTCTGAGTGTCCTCTTGTTTTTGTTTCACTCATTCTTAATTAATTGTACATACTGTACTACTTTGATTATTCAGTTAGCGGCATAATTGTAATACTTCCAACCAGGCTCTGAGGTGATTTATTTAGGTAACTAGACCTTTAATGAAGTGAATGTCTTGTACAATCACTAGTACAAGACCTTAAGATAAAAATTCTCGTAAAGAGTAGGGGAATTACCAAGGCATCCTGGCCAAATTTCCCATTGGCCTTTACCTAGAATGCCACCTAATAATCCCCATCTATGAATTGTCTTAATCATTCTGTTCTCCTCCCCACTGATAGCTGGTGTGTGGGGAGGGTACTGGCATACTGTACTATGGCTGCCATCTCATCATCCAAGTAGGTGCTGCACATTAGTTGTGGTGGAGGGGAGACCTCCTTACTGTAAAGCGCTATGAGTGGAGTGTCCAGAAAAGCGCTATATAAATGTTAGGAATTATAATTTTTTAATTAATTGACTTCTTAGGTTGGAAAAGAAACCAGTAGACACAACACATTTCTGGAACTCAGTTTGAAGCCTCTGTTTTAAACCTCATTTTTCTGCAAGCAATTCAGATTTGTTAGTGAAATCTACAGTATATCCTATATACTGTACAGTACATGAACTAGTTAAGGTGAACAATAAGTGTTCAATAAATTCATGAATTTCCATTAATTCTCCTTGATCTGGCCTGGAAATGTGTGTGATGTGTCACAATTACCTGGTTGTAGGTTAACAATTTTTGGAGATTAAATGGATTACACAATATGTTTAAAACGTCTGTCTTCTATCATTTCCATTCTAAAACGCAAAAGCTATATAAAATATCAGAAAAAGTATCAAGAATTATTTCTCTGCGCGAAGACTAACCATTACTGTTTATTAAATCTAACTATTCTTTCTTTCAATGCCACTTTACACTATAACCATACAGTAGGCACTTGAAACGTTTTCTTTAGATTATCTGGCTCATGGGGGGTACGTTTTCTCCCTGTGTATCACTTATTTGGACCAAGCAAAACATTTCTAATGCTAGCACTCCCACAACTTCCCCCAGGGGCTTCAGAATGGTTCCAACCCACTCGCGTAGGCACGCCTCGTCTGCGAGTGTATTGGGCAGTCAGAGCGACTGGTTTGAGAGAGGCTCTCTTTGATTGGTATACAGTTCTGTCACCCGGTCTCGTCTTTCTCAAGATGCTGTGAGAGGGTCCGGCTCCTCCGCCAAGTGCAGCATCTGCAACCCAGTGAAGTGCCAGCTGTCATCGGCTTGCACAGAAAGGAGGGGGCTGGTGTCTTCGTTTTCTACGCTGTGAAAGAAAAACCTTTGGAAATAAGAAAACCAAGGTATGTTCATTCTCTCAGTACCATTAGCTGTAGGTTACCGTGTGCAATGGGTGAGTTCTAGGAAATGTAATCTTTGTAGTGCATTTGAAATGCTAGAAGGAACAGTAAATATACTGTACCTGTACTCTGCGTGTTACACACTTGATACAGTGTCTACTGGATTAAGGAGTCACTGTAGCTGGTTGCTTCACTGAATGAGACGCTGTTTAAGTTAATGGTAGTTTGGTTTTAGCCCGTGTCGTATTTTTCTACCAATACTTCCCCGTGTAGGTTTTTAATCTCGCAGTACCATTATAATTCTACTAAGAGCAGCACATAAATGTCCACCATTGTAAGTGTCACCTGCATTGGGTGGATGCGTTAAGTGCAGCATGATAAAAATATGGGTTGATTTTTTTTATTATTTACGCACTTTACCCACGCGTTTATTCACGCATTTATCTTTTTTCGCACAATAAAATATATTAACTGTGCATCTTGTGGCACTACAGCAAACGGTTATAAATCTGCAGGAGGTGTCTTTGGTCACAATTAGAGCTCGGTGTCTTTGTGTAGGCTGGGGAATGGAGCGGGTCTTGAACATGGCTCTGAAGGTTTTATGTTTTAGGTTCTAGATTAATTTATAATGTCATGAAACTGTTAAAATAGCTAATAGTTATTATGATAGAATACAAAATATCAGCTTCGTTTGTATTTGCTAGCAGATTGGAGTATCGGTTTCCGAGTGTGATAGTATTACATGGAGCAGGACAGCCCTGTCTTTGGTACGCAAGCCAAAAAAGAGGGTTGTGTTTCATTGTTGGTTGCATTGTGTGAAGCCGCGAGGGATAACAGACCCCATCACTAACCTATACTACAGTAGTATTAGGCATAGCAATTGTGCAGTAATTAATGCACCGGCTTCTAGCCTTTTTCTCAGTTATTGCTGTTTTAATGGAGTACCACAAGTGCATGTTTAATGAAGCACAGGAAACAAAATGATACATAAAATCAATTTGCATGTTTATGTTGTTATTTTATGTACTCTTTATTGAATAATCGTTTTGATACCTTAACGTTTAAATGCAACAAAAATAGCACTGTTTTATTTTTCTTTCCGAGTTTCTTTCTTGCCAAATATGGGGTGTGCCCTCTCAGAAGAAAGGAAAACTTTGCCTCTGGAGGGATGATTTTTGGTAACGTTCCAACAATCATTTTCTGATTCTCACTAGCGTTTCGAATGTGGGAATAAGGACAAACAAAGCAATTCAATAAGAGCAGACGAGCAAGAGTGTCTCAGTTTTTTTTTTAATCATTGTGACGTTATTTATCAAACAACAAGGACCTGCCGTTCTATCCCTAATGATTTATTCATGGCATCAGACCAAAAAAGAAGCATTGTACTCTACGCACACACAAAGAGATTTGTTTTTGCATTCATTGTTTTTGCAAGGCTGGTTCTGGTATCTAATTGGAAATTTTGCCTGGATTAAGGATTCCGGTGCTTGGGCCAGTATCTACAGTACACAAGTCCTCTAAGCAGAGACGCTAATGACACTTTCAGTGGAATTCTTGAGAGCCTGTTTCAATTAACAATTTATTTTCTCATTGCTAAATCAGCCCTGAACTGAGAACCCCAAAGTGCAAATAGAAGGGTGCTGCTCTCTGTGACGATACGCTAACGGGGGGGGGGCGCTTATTTGACTCCCTTCTGGTACCGTATTGCTGGGGCCTGATCTCAGACAGCTGCTTTAGTTTCTCCTTATCTTTGTTATGATAAAAAGAATAGGGATGTGCATAAGCACATTTGCTCAAGTGAAGTGTGTTCATCAAGGCGCTTGGTTAAGGATGTGAGTGAAAGAGCAACACTGAGCAACGCAGACATGATTTAAGGGATGTGTCTCTGTCGACAGTCACACCCTTTTTGCAGCTCTAGGCTAATGACTGTCTGTTTGCCTTCCAGGAACACTTGGCTGCACACTGTGTGTTGTAGCAGCCTTTCATGACCTTATGAATGATGTATCTTGGGGGATAATGTAGTTTAGTATGTTAAGAGTGTTTTGGCAGGGGATTCACTGATCAAGGACTAGTACTAGTGACAAAGTAAATGAGAAAGGTCACTTGGCCCATCTGCCTCATCTGGTTGTTAGTAACTAAGTGATTTGAGAATGACATCCATTTGTTTTTTGAAAGAAGCCTGGAGGTTAGCATTGAGAATTTGGCTGATTAGCTTGTTCCAGACCCCCACAACTCTTTGAATTTAATGTTAATCACTGTATATTTTTATATCTTGATTTTCATACGAGTTGCTCTCATTCAGACTTTTTCTGTTGTAGGTTTTTGAAATTATTTGTAATCTTCAAAATGTTCTTTATTACAGAGCCCTTTAATCCCAATAGTTTTATCCTTTCTTGCACGCTTTTTCTAAGTGAATCTTCCATTACATACTGATTTCTGATAGCTTTTCTATTGAATGTGTTCCTATTTTGCAGCATAAACCTCAGACAGGGCTCTTTATGTTTAAAAGAAGGGAAGCCGTTATGTACAGCACACTAGGGACAGGAATGATTTTTTTTCTGTGCTCCTGGATCTAACATAAATACTGAAATAATGATTCTAATTCAGATCTTTGACCACAGCCTTCTGAGTTCTGAAAATCCCTTGTAATTTAGAAAACGTAACACCTTGAACATGAGACAAGAAATATGGTTGTTCTTTTTTTGCTTTTAAGAACCAGTCCTCTACTTCCGAGGTATCCATTTTATTTGTTACTGAACCGTAATATGCTTCAAAGATCCAGAAGTGTAGCAGCAGGTTGAATGATTTCCTTGCTGTGCTGCTGTACAGGATCCCTTGGCAACAATGTAAGGACTGTAAAACAGAAACTCTTTTTTGGTCTGTGTAAAAGAATTATCCCCCCCTTCGTTATTAAGCACTATGCCATTCTGCTCCTGCATTACAACTCCATTGACACCCCAGGGTAGCCATTGATCGAAACAGGGAAAGGATTTACAGAAGTGTGTGTCCTGCCTTTGACTATTTACTGTATTGTTCACACACACATTTAATCTTTTTGGTAAATACAGTATAGAACAGATTCATAGTATGGATTAATATTCCAATATTTTATGTAATGCAGAATGTTTTGTATTATGGGGAAAAAAGTGGTTTTAAGTTGCAGAGCAAGATGCAGAGTAAATCGTAAGAAGTCAAGCACAATGATAAATCATAATCATAAAATATTTCTCTATTTGTTATTTCATATTCAGAACTACTGTATGCTGTGCTGCTATTGCAGGGCATGTCTGGGTTTGCAAATAGCTTCAGAAGTCAACGAGTAAGACAGCAGGGTTTGTGAGACTGAAAAATACAGCTGAAACAGTTAGCTACAGTATGAGTCACCGTCATTGCAGTCTGGACTTGGGTTTATCCCTCATAGTAGAGAGTTTGAAGTTAACACAGGAACATCATTATAACCATGTTACTATACTTTGTGATTGTCTTAAATTAAAAGCAGTGACCACCTTCCTTTAGTATCACAGAAGAATAACTTACAAGTCCGTCTTAGGCCCATCTAATTGGATTCTTAAATCCAAATTGTCTGTATTCTATGATGTGAGTGGAAGTGTTGTTTTTTTTCTGAAAAGCTCTCTGCTGTGCCTTAGATACAGCAGCCTTAGACATTTTGCTTTGTTCTAGTTTTTCAATAAACGTTGATTTTAGTGATGAAGATTACTGTACCTTCCAGTAAGTCACTTCAAGTAATTAGTTCATTATTCTGAATCCCTCCCTTGTAATGCAAGATAATCATTTGAAAAAATGGACACTATGCTTTTGTGTAAAAGGAGCAGACACTTCTGAAAAGTGGTCTCTTCTATAATTTGCATGTGTTAAATGCTAACACGGATTGATAATCTGCAATGAAATAGAGACTTCAGATTTTACAGCCTCCCTTCTTTTAGTAAAGTATGTCTGTGCAATCTAATATGTTGGAAGATGCTTCACTTTGGTTATTTGTGCTTTAGCCACTGTGCCAGAAGTTTTTTTCACATTTTTCCAGTTCAAATGCCACAGTAAACACAAAAGAAACTATTTAAGCAGTAACCATAGGGCGGGTTTGGAGAACTCATAAGGCTGAGTGGAAATTTGCAACTTGATCCTCTATAATATTGTTTGCCAAGGCATTAAAAGCAAACAGTGTTTGAAATAGGGGACACATTCCCATTCCCTGTAGCCATTTTCCCTGCAGTAATTTCCTTAATTTGCTCAACTTGTCTTCACTTGGCAAGGATGATTGAGTCCAGTTTGGTTTTGGGTTGAGTTCAGACCTCTGGACAATAATTAATATCATTGTGAATCTTCATTTCTGTTCTTGGAAGATGTTGAGAAACACAATATAATGCTGACCCTCGATATATGAAAAAGATGTGTTCCTGACTATAGTGGAATAGTCTAGTTGTCCTACTCAACCTTCAAAGCTGTGGTATAACTATCCAGCTTTGCTGAGCATCGCTGTCAGCACCTACTCAAAGCATAAGACCAACCTTCCAGTTTCTAGTGTTAGTGAATGCCTGCCCCAGTTATGTGCTTCACACATTATCTTTGTTATTTAAGAATAACAAAATTTAAGGTGAGGTTGTTGACCAGTATATGAAAAGTTACAATAGCCAGAAAGTGACTTTTATTATCTTCTCCAGCAGGCACCAGTGTTCTGAACTGTTACAAAGGTTAAGCATATTCCACAGGTAGAACAGCAATAAGAAGTATCCTTATACAATATACAGTAAATGCACAGCCTGACAAGATTTCCACTTCTGTTCTGCTGACTGGAACTGTGGGTCTAGGGCACAGGACTGTGTTTTACAATTTGATATTGAAAATGTTCTTATGCAGGAAAACCTTCTACTGGGTCACATCAAAATCTTAATAGCAAGAGGATATTCCCAATATTCGATTAATCTAGTAGTAATTTCACTCTTACTACTTACTACTCTTACTACTATTAGTAGTAATCAAAGTGG